TGAAGTTCCCTAACAAATCTGTGACTTTTGGGGATGTGCCAAAAGTCTAAGGAAACAGCTTTAAACAGCTTTACTTACACTGGTATTTAAAAACGCTGCATGAGATGACCCTTTTAACTTCAGGTTGAACTTTTATCCCAGGATAATAATGAAAGGGTAATTGTGGATGAGATTGTGTGTCTGAAAGTGAATCTGTTTTTTTCCACTAACAGTGGGCTGGTCTAATAAGATATATTCTCAGCGCCTACAGACCAACCCTATCATAATTTATGTCATCCAGCATAGTTTCTGGGAGCTTGAATCCTACTCAACAAATGTGATACAATGTTTTGACTGGCATGGTGTAGTTTGGAAGTCTGGAGGAAAGTCTTCATTAATGGTGGTCTTATGTAATGAGAAATAGACTAGTTTCTTCTCTCTCTGTGAAAGTATTTAAGTGAAAACTTAAATTCCAAGAAACTTAGAAGTTAACTATTTATCAACATTGCTGCATCATGAACAGCAAGGAAGATGCAGTTTGGTCCTTAGTAAAAGGGCACCCCTAATTCTCATTTTCATGACTATCTCTAATGGGGAAAAAAAAATTTAAAAAAAACTTTTATCCTAAAAAATAATAATAAAATAAAATAAAAATACCACTTATATCACTTTAAACTAGCTACTTTTAAGGTAACATAGGTGTTGTGTCACAACTTATATTGCTGTATCATTTCTTTAACAAAAAAGGCTAAAATATGTTCAAAGTTTCTAGAAAACATGTTATCAGGCCTTAAGATCATCAAATTTACTTTTTAATTTTTTTTTTCCAAATATATAAATTACATTTAATTCCAATTGGAATAATTTGTTCCACTATTCACTTATCTGCGAAAACTATTAGGATTTTGATGTAGTAAGTTCAAAGAGAGGATATTAAGTATAGTCTTAACATGTTAAATTAGTTGGTATGGGTACCAGGGAAGAATTATCAGGGAGTGCAAACAGTAGAATATATATTAGTGGTATCCAACATGGTATTGATAGACCTGGTATTCTCTCTTTGGGAGTTTTATATAGTATCTTCTTCACAGATGGCTTTCTCTGACCGTGGCATCCTACAACAACAACCAAAGGAAGTATTTTAAACTCTATAAATTTTTCTTTGAAACTGGCAGATTGGGGTATGAATATGGGTACTAGTCAAGAATGTTTTGTATAATATATAGATATAAAATCATAGAAACATAGAATATCCTGAATTGAAAGGGACCTACAGTGATCATCAAGTCCAACTCTACCCAAAAATCAGACCCTGTGTCTGAGAGCATTGTCCAAATGCTTCCTGAGCCCTGGAAGGCTCAGTGCCATGACCACTTGCTGGGAAGGCTGTGCCAATACCCAACCACCCTCTCAGTAAATAACCTTTCCCTAACATCCAGCCTGAACCTTGGACCCTGGAGCTATGTTATGAGACATTAAGGTCTTGTGTCACTGCTATTACAAAAAACACCACGACTGCATCTTTTCATCTTATTTATAATTGCATCAGGGGATAAGCTAAGAAGTAGGAGTCATACATGAAAGTCATTCTTCCAACAATCCATCCAGAAAAAAGGTATTGCTGATTTTTAGAGTCATGATTCTGAATTCAGCTGGTCAGGCAGAGCTAGGTAACAGCATGTTTTACCAAGTGTTGAATACACAAGGAAATTAAAATAAACAACAACAACAAAATTCTTTTAGCGTTTCAGTCAGTGAAGAAGAGATGGAAAGATCCTCACTGAGTTTATGCTATAGCATTAAAGGCAAAGGCAAAAAAATATTATTTCTTTCTGTTATCTTGGGCCATATTTGGTAGCTGTTACCTTGGAAATATCATAATTTAAACCAACATGGCCTCTACGTTTAAGTATCGATTTAGTGTAAAGGGAAATTAATATTTTTTTTTTATTTTTTTTTTTTTGAGGGGGGGGGTTGGGTCCAGAAAGTGCAGTCCCTTTTGGTTTAATTTATGAATTGTTTCTCTTGTCCATCAAAAAATATATATGTTATAATTTATAAAAATGTTTAGTTCTTACCCTTCAATTTTACATATCCCTGTATGAAGCATGCAAGATTTGTCTGAGCATCTTGTTTTCAATACAGATGCTCATAAAGTTTTATTGAGGTGTTTTGTTTAAAAGTTATTTGTAGAACAAAATTTGTTATGGTACTTGGTTCTTGCAGTTGTATTTTAAAGATGTAAAATACTAAAAATCTCAGTTCTTCAAATATGAAGGCTTCTTAGATACAACTCTTGGCTTCTTTATCTTTTTCCTTTGCATTAAAAGAAAATCTGAAAGGAGATTGTACCTGAACAAATTTAACACCATCTCCATGACAACCAGCTAATTAATCGCTATTGGTATGGCTTTGGTCCTCTTCCGTGAACGGATACTCCCCAGCTTTATTTCACATATCTTCTGTGTTTTCTATGAAGGTCATTTATTTAGTGACAGCATTTCCTAGGAAAAAGCAGCCTTTTTAGTACAGGCAACAATTGTCTTTAAAAATAGCTCAATCTTACCTGCATTTTTCTTCTTTTTTTTTGATGTTTAAATTTTCTTTTTCACTTGGGTGTATATGCTCATTATGTATGTTGTGACTGTGACGACACTGCAGTACAGGCATTCCCAAGATAAGTTTGGATCTAACTCACATAATAATTAGGAGAAATCCATCTGCAGCATTGTGGAGGTAGTGTGAACTAAGGATTCAGGTAGTTGCTTTCATTCTTGGGAAAGATTTTGCAAGTGGTGTTGAACTGTGAGCTGCATTGCTGTGAGTATTGTGTGTTTAGCTGCTGGCCGGGTTAAATCACAACAGCTTGCTAGTGTAAAATCAGCTCTGTTCTATCCTGCAGTCAGTTTCTTCAGTGTTAGTGATACATTGATTCAATCAAGATACTTGCCAGGGTTACTCCATCATTTTAGATATTATAAATATGTTTTAGAGTCTTGGTAATTGTATTACTTCTGCAAATAATTGCAGGCTTTCCCCAAAAATAACAGCCTCCAACCTGTGATTTCTATGAAGATTCAGTACTTGGTCAGAGGAAATGTCTGCATAGTTCAATATCCTGTTTTTGCTAATGGCCTCTCATAGCAGATACCTGTGAGGGACTCTAGGAACAGAAAGGATGAGATGATGCAGGATATTTTCCCCAGAACAACTTCCCAATCTTCAAATATCTGTGGATAAAGGAGTTAAAGGCTTGCAAGCTGTAAGAAGAAAAACAAAAGCTGTTTATGAAAGAACAATATTCTCCAACTGAATGTTTTGTGTATTTTAAAGTTTTCATTTTCTTTCTGGGCTGGCTGTACACTGCCTCTTACAAATTAAATATGCTTCACAGACATTATATACTTACTATTGCCTGAATGGTTACACTCAAAGATTTGTGGTCAACAGTTCAATATCCGGGTGGAGATGAGTGATGAGTGGTGTTCCTTAGGGATCTTTACTGGATCCAGTATGGAACATCTTTGTCAGTGACATGGGCAGTGGGATTGAGTGCACCCTTACCAAGTTTGTAGATGACACCAAGCTGTGTGGTGTGGTTGACATGCTGGAGGGAAGGGATGCCATCTAGAGGGACCTTGACAGGCTCCAGAGGTGGGTCTGTGTGAACTACATGCAGTTCAACAAGGCCAATTGCAAGACCCTGCACCTGTGTTGGAGCAATCCCAAGCATGAATACAGGACAGCAGTCCTATGGAGAAGGATCTGAAAGGTGATTATGGATGAAAAGCTCAATATGAGCCAGCAGTGTGTGCTTGCAGCCCAGAAAGCTGTCATATCCTGGGCTGCATCAGAAGAATGGCCAGCAAGTTGGGAGAGATTGATTCTTCTTCTCTACTCTGCTCTTCTGAGACCTCACCTGAATAGCTGCGTTCAGCTCTGGGGCCCTCAGCACAAAGGGCATGGACCTGTTAGAGTGGGTCCAGAGGAGGATAATCAGAGGGCTGGAGCACCTCTCCTACAAAGACAGGTTGAGAGAGTTGGGGTTGTTCAGCCTGGAGAAGAGAAGGCTCAAGGGAAACCTTATAGTGGCCTTCCAGTACTTAAAGAGGGCAGGACAAGGGGTAATGGTTTTAAACAGAAAGAGGGAAGATTTAGATTAGATATAAGGAAGAATTTCTTTACTCTGAGGTGGGGGGAAGGCACTGGAACAGGTTGCCCAGAGAAACTGTGTATGCTTCATCCCTGGAAATGTTCAAGGCCAGGCTGGTTGCGGCTTTGAGTAATGGGATTTGTGGGAGACACCTTCCCATGGCAGGGGGGTTGGAATCTTTAAGGTCCCTTCCAGTTCAAACCATTTTGTGATTATATGACAGTGAAAACAAATCCCTCACTCTTCAGTTTCAATTTCATTGGCACATGTTTAATTCCAGTGTTTGTGTTTTTCTGTCCTGTCTCACAGACTTATCAAATGTTTGAAATTATTCCATAGTTGAATAAATTCCATTAAGTTAAATCTTTTGGTGCCTTTTTTTTTTTTTTTTTTTTTTTTTTTTGACAGTGAGTTGTGAGTTGCCTTTCCGGTTACCTTATGTAATTTAATAGTACTTGAGAGAGATGAGTATTGACATTCAGGTATAGGTGTGAATTCTCCTGAAACAAAGTAATTGGGACTGAGGATTATGGATATGGATATTTTACATAATAAATGACTGGAGAAATAAATGTAAGTGGACGTTTAGTACTTGGAATTTTCATGAAATGAATTGGAGAAAAGAAGCTTACACCAAAACTGGTAATTGAATAGGAGATGTTAGGCTGCATAAGTGACCTTGAAGATAGGAAACATGTTCTTTATGGTGTTAAGATTATGTCTATTGTGAATCATTGTCTTTCAACAACTTATCTGACATTGTTATGCATCTGTATTCAGAATAACATTTAAATTTTTTTTCTCTCTCTCTCTCTCTTTTTTTTTTTTTTTAAATATGTGACATTCTACTGAACTGGTATATGTGAAGATTGCTGTGTTCACTGTATCCTGGCTTGCTTGTTCTGTGAATTTCTCACTCTCTGTAACATTGTACTGGGACAAGCATCCTGTGGCATCTGCACATCGGAGGCCTGCTGCTGTTGCTGTGGGGACGAGATGGGAGATGACTGTAACTGCCCTTGTGACATGGACTGTGGCATAATGGATGCATGTTGTGAATCTTCAGATTGCTTGGAGATCTGCATGGAATGCTGTGGGATCTGCTTCCCATCCTGAAATACTTATCCCTTTCTAATCTCTTAAAAACTGGAGAGCTTTTCTTTAAATACATTTGAAGAAAGACAAGGTAAGATTTTCACACAACCAACTGGTATTGCACTGTTCATTCCCTATATATAAATATTTTTTGTAAGCAGTCCTCAAATCTGTCTTCTAACACAAGTTGTATAGTTTTGTATGTGAAACTCAAGCTACATTCCAGCTTCCTTTTGGCTTTGCAAATGGAAGATTTTAATGAAAATTATAGGCCTGATACTGCAGGCAATATATGAGGGCAAAGTTGCCATTTGAATTTAGTGACAGATTTTAGTTGGAGTAAAGACTACAGGACAAAGCCTTAAGTATTTGCCTTTACCTACTTTAACGTTTAAATGCTCAAATGCCTACATACATAACATTCCATTACAGGAATTCTTAAAAGCAAAATGTCTTTGTTTCGGTCTCCTTGGGTTCGAACTAACCTTGTTCTATAATCTTAAACTAAATTCAGTTCTCAACACCACTAACCTACTGTTGGTTTTGCTACCATGGTCACACTGACAATGTTTCTTTTGTTTTGAATATCTCATTTGTTTGAAAGATATTCCTCGTATTATGTTAATAGTACATGTAGATTTGACAATCTGGAGTCAATGTAAATTTTACTATCAATTAGAGTACCAAGGTTTCATTGTTATCAATCAAGACAGAATAGAGAACTTTTGTTCTACTTCATTACTAATATTAGTTGAAATGCTTCTTTTTAGAAACAGACTTTGGAAATCTGTGTAGACATGAAATATATCCATAGACTAATAAATTAACAAATCTTAAAAATTTGGCTATTAAGGGGAATATATCAAAAGTTAACTCAAGAATCTAAATCTGTACATTAGAGGCCCTGCCAGGTTTTGTGGCTTTACAGTTAGTATAATGTAATTTAATATTTATTCATTGTGTGAGCATGATCCATACAAGATTGCACCATTTAAACTGGATATAAAGACCAAATTAAAACCGACTCAATCAAGGAATTCTGTCATCATATATGAGAATATTACATTTGCTTTTTGCATATGTTTTAAGTGATATTTTTTAAAAAGCTATGTAAAAAAGGGATATATTTTAAAAGTATATCCTTTTCATATAAAAATAATATAATTTGAAAAGTTGGTAAGTACACAGTTAGGATTTGGTTGGCAATTTTTTCCCTATTATACCATTAAGACTTTCTGAGAAAAATCTGTCTTTGTCTTTGCAATTGTGAAATTAATTTAGTCCAATGCATAGAAAGGTTTACGACATTCCCAGATTTAGGGAATAATGGTACCCATTTTATTTCCCATTTGCTAGTTTCTCCCCTCTATGTCTGTAGCTCATTAACTTTACTGCATAAAACCACCTGTACATCTTGATCTCACATACTGAATCTTTCCTACCTACACTTCAGATTTCCTATTTGGAGATTGTTGGATCTAGTAAATTTATACCTTGTTAAAGAGTCATCAATAGCCAATACCATATTTCTGTTAAGTGAATTGATCATAAATGTCTCTTTCCACTGGAGTGAATTCAGTTTATGCAAATGTGACAAACTAAACATCACAGGAATGTGAAGCTAAGTCAACAAATTGCCTTATATTAATCCAAGCTTCTACCTGTGAACACTGACTAGTAGTGCCTACTACTGCAAGTTATCACTGAAGGTAAAATAGCCAAATCCTCAACTATATTTGGGAGCTGGGAGGTGTTACCTTTTGCCTTAACATCTGCATATTGTGGTATATTCTGATGCAATGCAGATTTACTCAGAGGGTGTCTTATCTGCTTTTTGATAGTAACTACAAGAAGTGATCCATATGTGGTGGTTTGGTTTTGTTTTGTTTTCCCCATATGTTGGGCCAGATTCAGATCTGTGTTGCATAAACTGAGTACATTTCCATTAATGTCAGAATTTTCCATTGGTGTAGTTCCAGTTAGAGAGCACAAAGATATTATGGTAATAGGCAGGCTAATAAGCAATCATATAACTAAATTGATAAATTCCCTGAGCTCAGAATCAGGCCCATGGGGCTCAATTATGACTCCTAAAAGTCTGAACCACATTGGGAAGGGGGAAGAGGTGCATTGGTTGAGTGGCAGTGCCTGGAGGCATTTTGCCTTTGTAAGGCATAATGCCTCTGGGGAAATTGGGGGCATCACAGTGAGCACTGGGACTTGATGCACCTTGGAAAAAGTGTAGACAGTGCTTCACCCATTGTAGGCCTATGGTTGACACAGTGGTGGTGGGGCCATGCTCTCTGGGGCCAGGTAGCACCACTAGCTGTCTGTCCTTCCTTGTGTCCTTGTCACCACAGAGAGGTGAATTATGGCTGTTTCCTGTCTGATTGTGCTTCTGGAGGTGGGGAAAAGTACTTCCTGTCTCCTGTCCTGTTAGGACATCCCTGCCCGAGCATTTCCAACGTTGTGTTTGGAAAACTGCACATTTGCATTTCAAGCTTTCAGTGAATACTGGATGTAAAAATTACTTTTACCACAGGATGATATAGTATAAAAAACGAAAATGTTAATCCAGGGAGTATCGTCTGTGTAAAAGAATTATACAATTTATACAATCCCTTGTTTCTACTTACATGAACTCAGATTTTGTTTTGATTGTTTGAAATTATGAAAATCTGAGGAATGTATTTACTATTAAGAACGTATTTCTAGTATTGTACTGTCCAGTACAAATTCTAGATACAAGAGCTCTGTTGATGCATCTATGCATATGTGTACACTCTCCTACACGTGCACACACACAGAGACATATTTCTTTTCCCATTTCATTTGTGAAATACAAGAAAGTGAAAATACTGTGTTTATTAACACAGTGATTAGAACTATAAAATTATTACAGTTCAAAAAAAAATTATGTGATTTGTTTGACATTTAAGTGTAATCTGCTACTATTTGTCATAGAGATATTAGCACTTTTGTAAAATGTATCTTTGTAGCAGAGAATATTAGTATGTAGTTTAAGGATTTCCTTTTTATATTTATATTATTAAATTCTGTTTTGTAATTTTCACTCTGTAGACAATCTTATATGCACCTTGTGTCATTAAAACAATCATAATTAGAAGGAGACAAATGTGAAAATATAGTTTAAAACATCAGAACTTAATTGTATTTTATAAGAGTTCTTGTGAACTTGTACAGTGTTTCAGTATATATCTCTGCAAACTGTCCCATTTTGGAAAAAATGGTAACTTGCTATTTGTATTTTCTATTAACTGGATGTGCTATTCTCAAACACTATTTTGAAATAAAGATCTTTATTTTGAAACTTCGGTATATCTTCTAGTTTTGTCCTGTTACTGTTCTGAATAGTAATTTTTTGTATTATTTGTGATTTTTCTGTTATAACACTTCCTGAAGGCTTTGACCTTCAGGTACTTTGCACAGAGAGCATGGGCCAGAGTAGGTGAGCTGTCTTACAGGTGGATCTGTGCCATTTCGGGTGCCAGAATCTGGGCTAGCATGAATCTCCACCATGTAGCCCAACAATGGAAAGTTCATCATTAAGGAGACAAATTTGTGTCTGAGTGCAATTGTATTAATTACTGTATTGTATTAATATTAATTAATTGTATTAACTCTAGTCATTATTAAATTTGATCAAAATGAGAATAATTTCAATGCATCTGTTGGAACAGTCTGGTTTTCTAAAAGCAAGCTGAACACAGAGTGTTCAGTTGGTTCATAGCACTGCAGTAGATAGATAAAGATGAAATGGCATTTGTGGCCTATGGCCTATTTGTGGCCTATGTACCACTATTTTAAAGCTTATGCTACTTTAAAAACACAGAAACTGTTGTCTTTTACACTAACTTTCCTACATCTAATTTAAAATTATGTAATGTATATACACATTGCATATTGAATTATATTCATGGAACATGGGCTCTTAGAGGGTTTAAAACAATGCTGTTTTGTCTCCTGTGGATGTTACACGGGTAGTGTATTTAAACTGACAGAAATTCTGTGCTCAAGTGTGTACCATGAGATCTTGCTGTTGAGACTGTGCCAAAATTCTCTTTGTAAATAATTGTTTGTGTAAGAACACTAACAAAAATATGGACAATTACTGTCTGAGACTTACTACAGGTGCTCTAGGCAGTGTTTATAGTACCTAATGTTTCTAGAAAGAAAAGACTTATATGAAAAGTGACCGTGATCAGCATACAGGAACTTCTGAATTGAATAATGTCTATTTCAACTACAGTACTTTAGTGAAGAACTGCTTCTTAATTTTGTTGAGTCATTTGGTGTAATCTTCTGAATGAAAAACATTTCTGAGCTCTTCGCTTTTTTTTTTTTTTTTTTTTTTTTTTAAATCTTAATGATTGCAATAATTGATGTACATTCTTGGAGCACATTGCCATTTATATTGGTGCATTTTCATAGTAAAGCTCCTTTTATCATTAGCCCGGTAATGTTGTAGAAGACAACTTCTTTCTGTCCATCTTTACCAATTACGTGGCTGTGCACACCATATGTTGGAAGACTTAAGGTTGTTGGTGACAATAAAAGATTTGAATCCTTCAGGCATTAACCTTACTTTATTATTTTTTAATCTTCTAATCCTTCTGCCAGTTTTTTTTCTCTTCTAAAGAGAGCAGGGGGACCTTGGCTCAATTTTAGCATCAGGGTCTTGAAAGAAATTCAATAAAAAATGTACCCTGCACCCACTTCCATGATGTACTTGTTCACTGTACTCAGTATAATGGAATATGAATTGATTGCTTGTACAAATTCAACCTCCTCATAAGCACATGCTTATGCTATTTACCGGTGATTCAGTGCTAGTGACATAAAAGGATAGCCTTTCTCTGCTTTACAAACCTGTGATATGATGGACTATTTCTATTGCAGATAGACAGGAATTTCTCTGAATTATCATTCTGCAAAACAGCAGATGTTGAGTTTGATTAGGTGATCTTAATCTCTATATAGGTTTTAGTGTATCAGCTCACCTCAATTTAAAATAATTTAATAAAACACCAGATACAATCCAGTTTACCTTTTTTCATGTATATTTTATATGTCTATTATAGCAATTGTTAGTATGTTACCATTCAGCACTCATAAAAATGCGATGTTAGATGAAAGATTGTATAATACCTTTTACACCTTTTAGTATTATCTTACTAATTTTTATTCTGATATGCATATGCTATTTTAACTGACGAAATACTCAACTGTAATTGAGGCTCTTTATATCATCTCAGTAGGGTATGTAATTGGTGCCCAAGCACTATACAATTCCTCTTCAATCAGTGGTGTAGGCTTGTGCAATTTGTCTCATCTCTAAGTTGCAGAGTGACCACACTGTGAATATGCTGTACTCCAGTTTGTATGCCTTTTACATTGCAATCTTTTTCCACTGTGACATAGTGTATTGTTGTTATATGTTTGTTTGGTTTGGTTTTTAAATCTTTGTTCAAGGGAGAGCACAGAAAGGGCTTTTATTACAGGTTGATATTAAGATGTATATTGTGTTGTAAGTTACTTCATCTTTTCTGTGTTCATTGGTCATTGCAACTCCTAATCAAAAAGACTTGTGAAAGTGTATGTTTGGAACTTTGGAATATATATCTGTTACTGTAACTCAAGAATTTTACATTTGAATATATGAACTTCAAAATACAGTGATTCTGTCTTGCTCTTTGAAATAAAGAACTGAAAGTTTGTTAGTTGAGATGTACTCTGCAGAATCCTGCAAACTGGCAGTCTTCAAATAGTTCTCTTCATATGATTAAGACCAGTACATTATTTTAATATTAATAGATTTTACAATGTCATACAAGTGCCAGCTTTTATACTCTGTGATATTTTCAGTTATTGAAGACTAATAGGAACAAGCTTGGATAAAGTGTATCAAGCAAGATGGGTTTGCTTTCCTCCCTAGGAAATGTAACTGCATTTGTCTATTTCTTCTGTGTTGAGGAAACACCTTGATTCCATATTTAATGTAGACTAACAGCAATGGTTTAGAATGTACAATAACTTCAAGGTCATTCTAAGTATGTGAACCATAAAAGGCAACACCTTGCAAGGATTCTACTGCTGTTGTCAACTGCTGTCTCTGCAACAGTAATCTGCTTTGCAACTACCAAGGTTTCATGGGGTTAAGTTTAAGAAAATTAAGGCAGCCATGACTGAAGTTTTATATTCAGTCTTGTTTCTTCAGAAAGAATCATTAGAGATATTTACACAATTACATTTTAGTAAACTATTATGTCAGTTTAACTGTAACAAATAGTAAAAGTATATTCAACAGCAATCCAAAAGCAATTTCGCTGCTGAAGGCATTATTTGCTATCTATTTCGTCACAAATTAATGAATAAAATTAAATTCCAATCACTGAAAAAAACGAAGCAATGGTGAGAATCAGAACTACATATTAGTTAAAGCTATGCAATTCATAACAGAATTAAAGCTTTCTTTTATTCAAATTCAATGCTTAAAAAAGAACAAATCCATCATCTTGAAATTTGACTTGTAGCTTGACATTAAAAATAATATGAGTAGAATTTTCAGTGGGGTAAGCACAAAACTAGTTCAAGTAGTGTCACTCTCAATTAATGTACTCAGGTGGTGTGCCCATTAAAATTCCCACTTGTGGGTTCAGCTCTCTATGCAAATGGGGTCATTACCTGGAGAATTTAATTGGGTATGACACTGGGAGTAGGAATTTTCCTTTCAAAATAAACCTACTTGCACACATTTTCACTAGAAATTTGATTGTTACATATACTTCATATTGTTTGGCTCTATAAATATTTACCAAAATTGAGAACGTCTTCACTTATTTATTTTTTTTACAGGTGATTCATAATGCATCAAAATGATTTTTAAATTTTTCCATGTATTGCATATGCAAGTATTGCTACAAAGACCTGTGGTGAAAATGATTTTTTTTGGTGTTAAATTGATATTTTTACAAATCCTTTTAAAACTCATATTAATTTTTACAGCATCTGAAACCAGAACTGTAATATTTTTTATAGTGTACATACATGTTAATGGAAACATTACATAATACTGAACTTGTGTCTCACACATTGTTTGGAAAGGACAAAAATATATTGTCTTTCTGAGAAATGCTAACTTCTAACTTTTGCTGCAAATTACTTTGCATAATCACTTGTATAAAGAAAGCAAATACCACAAAACATTTATTCTGAAATGCTCATAAAAATACTGTGGAAATGCAGGAGTGTATGGCTGGGAAGAACTTCTAGAAAACTTCTAGTTCAGCAGCCTAAGCTGAAAGAGTGTCTATAAACATGATCTTGAAAACCTCCAAACAGAGTTCTGGACACTGTAGAAATAATCCGCAGTAGCACTATAGTAGTCTTCAGAGAAAAAGCTTTTTTTTTTTTTTTTTTTTTTTTTTTTTTTTTTTTTTTTTTTTTTTTCCTGAAGAACCCATTTAATCGTATTTTCATTTCTGCAAGACCGATGTATCCATGTTCTATTCCCGGTGGATGTGTAGAACAATCACCATTCTCTTGTCGTAACCTTTCATATATTAACCTTTCATATAGTTTGTGTACTCCTGCCTAATTTTCTCTTAACTAGTCCAAAGAAATGCAGTCTGATTTCTTCAACCTTTCTTCTTCAGTACAGCGTTTCAGTACAACATTCATTTAAAGCATTATCTACTATACGAGTTATACTTTTTATTTCAAAGTATCACAAGACTGAGGGAACGACTTGTGCAGGGACTTTCTCTGGAAATGAGAAACATACTTGTTGCATGCAGTGTTGAGGTAATACATATATTCATGTCTCTAACGCGTGCATTTTTGTGGCAAGAGAATTGACAGTATTTCATTTGCGTCTTAACTTCTCTAAAGGATACAGTATAAAGAATCAACCTGATCTTCTACGTGCAACACATGAAAATTTAAAAAAATTGAAAAATTTTAAAAATTTTTAATGGGATTTGTAGAATCCTTTTTAAAATTTCTAGGATGTCGTTGTTAAAACAGTGATTTTAGAAATTTAGAAAGATTCTGCAGAGATTGGCACTGTGCCTGGCACTATTAAACGTTTTCATCAACAATCTGGAAAGATTTATAGCAGAATTTATAGATGAATCAATAGCTGGCAGAACAGTGAATTAAATGTGTACCTTGTTATAAGCAATCTGGATCTAGTAGGTGGGACCTATTTTTTTTTTTTTTCCAAGAAAGATAAAAGAAATATTTAGAGTTTTCTTCATAGATTCTTTGCAATATTATTATTAAGCACTTTGAAAAATATTGAGGACCACGATGAAGAAGG